AAATGAGAATTTCTAAATATGTAAATAAACAGTAATTATGGCTTACAGAGCTTTGAAAATTAAAATGTTTATATTATTTCTGGAAATATTTTTTTGTCGGCACTCTATATCTTCCTTATTACTTACCTTACCTTAAAAATTTGCAGAAAAGTCATATGAATAAAAAAACTTCGTTCGCGAACAAATTAAAAATTTATGATCAGTAATGATTATTGGGAGTAGGGTACCTCAGTGTTAGTTTACTGAGCTTCAAATGCTAAAGGTGTCCCAGGTTTAAATCCCGGCTCTTGGCAAAAAAATATTTATTGTTTTATTGGCTGTGGGGCGGCCCTGGGTAAGGAGGCCCTCCTGGGGCACACCCAGCCTCTATAAAGTGAGTACCCTGAATTAAAATAATTAATTAAGGGGAAAAACCTGGCGGTTGAGCGTGATCTCGGTCGAACTACCCCCTCCTTGCACAACCGTAAACCAAGAAACAGTGCTTCCCCTAAATAGTACTGAACCCAAGACCCTTCATGGGTTATAGTGGTACATGTTTAGGTGTTTATGATACTTAAAAAAAAAAAAGGTTGATTCTAATCACTTTCAGCAAAGGTAGAGCATATTGCAGAGTTAGTACCCATGTTTTAGTTAATTATTTCCAATTATACATTGCTATGCGAATGTGAATTGGTTAGTACATTGTTCCCATGGACCAATTTAGTCGTATCATGTTAATTAATCATAATTTTGTTTTATATCTACTTTTACTCCAAAATCGTGAAAAGCTCAATCTAAGGAATGTGAATTGTTATCTAAGCAATGCTCCATCAGTATCGACCAGAATAGATAACAGTAATATCTCTTATCTGGAATGGATACCTGGCCGCCATAATTGAGCACATCCCTGGATACCGGGTCAATATTTGGGTCTTTTAGGAATGATAAACAAAATAAAAGTTGAAAATGCTTTTAGTTGAATCGGTTTATCAAGAGGTAAAAAAGAAAATAAATAAAAGCAAAATACAACGTGGTGTGATTCATAACATAATTAGAATTTTATCCTTTTAAACTTTCATGAGATGTTATGAATTATAGTTTTATAAAAAAAAAAAATCAATTGTTAATTCTATATTTTAATTTAAAAATAACACGACTATCGTTCCTCAAGACCTTATTTAATATGGTTGATTTCCTTGTGAAGATCTACCGAGTCTTCAAGCATCAGATGCTTAGCTTAGATGAATACAAGTGTAATGTTCGAAAACTCCAAAATGGAAGTTGAGTATAATGATGTATGTAACGTATGTTGCTGTACAGTGAGGTCGTAAGACGTTCGGCGTCCCTCAGCAAAACGACATTATTTCTCTCTCTATAAAAATATTGGATTTATTTCTTAAGCTGTTTTATATTTGAAGTTTATTTCATTCAACATTTCTCTAATATAGTTGTTTTATTGATAAGCTGACATTAATTATTTTAATACGTTTTGTATTTCTTACAAATGTCATGATCAGCGGGCGCTCCCGACAATGCCCCGGTTGCTCCACCCGAAGGCCGGCACTTTGGCTGTATCCATCCTTACCTTTATATGTCAGTTTACTTGTCTGGTAACAGAACAAAGCTTGGCGAGTATTCATTCTGCCAATTCGATTTATCTTAAGAACTCCATTTTAAAATATTAATAGCGCACACTATGTGCAGCGGCTCACGGAAGTACCACGTCGCTATAAATGTTATTGTCTCAGACGACGAGTTTGTAATTAAACGGCCGGGATGTCGTCAGTTATAATTACCTGCCAAAATTAGTTTAGCCATTACCACGCTGCTTTTCTATTTATGTAGATCTGAATACCGCCCTATTTGTGTTGTGGCTTGATGTGAGTCCAAATCATCAACGGGGTCTCTTTGAATAAAAATGCTATTTAGGGTTTAGTGCGGACTGTAAACAACCTCCTCTCCTTAATGACGCTCGGGATTTTTTTTTCAGATAAGGAAGGTAGACCGTGTGGTACAGGAGATTTTTATCACGATTTGTGTTTTAACATTGGTTGTTCAATAGCTGATATCTTTTGTTTGTTTCATTTTTTATTATAACCGTTTTATTAGACACAATTTTTCTTTATTTTTCTGTTCACATTATTCACTGACGGAAAATACAATAAGCAAACGTCCTGATAATGAATGACAAGCAAATGGCATTTCATGCATGGGGAGGGATAATTCGCAGCAGCGTCTCCTCGTAGTCTTTGTTCACTACATTAAATCAGGAAAGATTCCCCATCCAGCTTTTTTACATGTCTGTTATGTCAGTGTAGTTCATGTTGAAATTAGAAATAAAGAGTACTTATGTATTAGTCGATAGTTGGTTATGTGAAGTCTGTATGTAGAGTTTTATTATTTACGTACTAGAGAGTGGCAGATATTGGTCTTAAAATTTTGAATTAAAAAGAGATTTATATTTTTTTTTTTTTTGGTTTTTTTTTGGTGAACCATAAACTGTGAAGTGTATTTTCCTATGGGTTTAAGTTCGTAGAATATGTGTTCAGTTTCTGTCTAATTTTCGATTTATGATCTAGGCAAAAGGGAATTCAGTAATTTTTTTAAGTTATTATTTTCAGCAAAGGCTCCAAGTCATTCTTTCGAATGTAAGTCTAAGGTAACTTGCTACGTCAGTTTCAGGAATTCGTTTTTACCTGATAAAAATAGTGGACACGTTTCTCGTTGACGTATGGGCGTTATATGCAGTGATTTTTTGTAAATTGTTTGCAATGAATTTTCATTTTCCAGAGAGATAGTACCATTTTTATAAGTAAATAATGTTATTTAATTCACTAGTTTTTGTGATCCTGAAGAAGCGTTAATTTCCGTATGGTCTCGATTTATAAGGATCGTAATTTCTGTATGGACTCTTCCTCCTGCTTTACAATCAGTCGCCATTTGTTAAAATACGTTGTTTTTACACTTGTGAGGTTCCCACTCGACTGTACCGACGATACAGTTACTGGTGACCTGTAAGTGTGAAACCTGGAGCGTTCACTGTCGTTCACCTCCCGGTTTCTCACACGAGGACCCGTGCCGAAATCGATTTTCTTCAGCTGGCCAGCAGACAAAGGCTTGTGTTCTCCCAGGCCATTCGCGTCATCTTCTATTCTTCCTTCTGCCACCTAACTAGGCGTTCCTGTTTGTTCGGAGGTACTAGTCCACCTGTTGCTTTGTCTTGGTTCTTGGCCAGGTTGTCCAACAATCGGGAATTTTGTACAGTCTGAAACAAATAGAAAAAAGAAATGTATATGAGATATAATTGCACCATTTAAGTTCGCAAAATGTTTAATTAAAAAAATTAAACTTGTTTACCCCAAATTAAATTAATTACTAAAATAAGAATTCATAAATTATAAAATAAAGATAGATATATTGTTTACTGTTATTTTAAAATTGTGAAATAACATGTTGAATAAATAACGTAAGTAAACTAAGATGAAAAATATGGAAATTATACATAATATAATAGTAGGATGATAACATTTTTACTGACTTTTTAAAATTACTGCGTCCTGACTACTTATCATCCACGATATGTAGAACAGTTGACTAACTTACTTCAATAGTATAATAGTAATATAAACGCAAAGAAAAAAAATGAATATATAAATAGGACACAAATAAATTAGAAGTATACACAAAACAACTGTGCTAAGCACTAGTGTATCCAGTATTTAATGTGTTTTTTTTTCTGGGAGGGAGGTGGCTTCAGTCCGAATGTTTTTTGTTATGTATATATATATATATATATGTAACGATAATTACTTTTGAAGAATAAGAAACTAACTACATATATGAAATGGTGTTTAAGTGAATCTTGAAGTCCTATTAAATTTAATTACACGAACAGTAATAATACTGAGAGATGATTTTTAATATTTATTTTATAAGATATGGTTGTATTATAACATTTTTGGAGAGGGGCTATTGCCCGAAAGTCTCCTCCCCCTTAGATCCGCCTGAGGTGCTTAGAATAAATTAGGTGAATTTTTAGTGTTTAGAGGGATTTAGTGACCATAAAAAATATGCCCAAGTATTAAACAACAGATAAAAAGTATTAAAATAAATATAAATGGTAGCTTATCAGCTTTCTTAGCATACTTTATGTGTACTTTTCATTTTTTTATTTTGGCTCTCTTATGCACTTCATTTTATATCTTAATGTTTCTTATGTTATTTGTTTGTTTTTTTCAATTTTACTTCCTGATGGCCCTCAAGCTTGGGTCTAAATGTCGGCAAGCCTAATAAACCATATCTAATCTGTAAATTCTGACTATCATCCTTAAAATTAAGATATTTTTATTTCATATAAATTTGTCTTCAATTTTAGAGGCTACTTTATTCACTTTGAATCCATCCATGCCTATTACATATTTAAATTATTACAAATTTATTTCCATCAACATAAAACAATGTTTTGCTGAAAGCGCGTGAACAATATTTTTTGTTCCTGAATGTTCCTCAATCGGGAACAAACAAAAAAAAACTCGGAGACTACCGTTCATACCAATGCCCCGTTTTCCAGTAGTTGAAATGGAGTTAATCAATTATAAAGTTTAGCCGGATCGGTGCAAATTGTTTCCAGCGAGTTTGTGAGTATTGTTTTGTGTTGGTGATTTGGTGGTAGGGAATGTGGAACGGTGCGGTTCCAGGCAAGGTGGCTGACCCCAAGGTCATTTCCCTGCTCTGCTCGGGACTCGGGACTTTTTTTTCCCCTCCCCTATCCCTCTCTCCATTGACAGGGTTAAATGTAGCATCGCTTTACCTGGTCCCTATTGTCGTCGTAATTACCCCACCGCGGGAACAAATCCAGCATTTAAAGCCCGGCTCGTATCCCCCGTCCGAAGGGTGCCAAATGACCTCCTATAAATATATATTTCGTCTTTACGAGGGGAATAAATTATTCCAGAACACTAATTACTTCATTAAATTGTAAATGTGGTTTATAAATATCCCGTTTGCGAAAGGGACCAAGGATGAGGAGCAGTTATCCCCCGCACGGGATTACGGAACAGTGCTCCCGATTCAAGCCACGATCCTACCAAGGTTTTCCTGCTAATAATATTCAATTGTGTGATATCCATTACCTTAGGTTCAAAGCTGATATCTGCACATTGTTTGTCTCACCTGTGCAGGCACAGATGCTTTTGATTTATTTAAAATGAATAAACTTCTTCAATGTTGTCTTTCAATTTTTTTTTAACTCTAAGGATTACGTAGGTTTTATATTAACAGCTGCGAAGATTGTTTTCTGAATGGATGTTGTCTGGAAACGGTCTACACAATTTCTAACGTTAAATATCTGTTAACTCAATAATTCTGATCGGTGAAACTTTACATTCTGTTGACGACGGCTAGTAGTAGTTGTAAAAAAATTATATTAAAGTGTAAAAAATGTATAAATAAGGTAACTGGAACGATGAAATAACTTATGGGTGCCTATTGACTTTTGGGAGATAGGGAGAGGTTTTCGTCAATGGCTATTCCTAGGTTTTGAACGGTTAAAGAAATTCATAAGAAGATATCTGTACTCCGAAGGTAAAGTAAGCCCACATTTTTATGTTTGTTGAGGGAGCCACATGTCCCTAACTTTGAGCTTATAAAATTTATTTATTAGTTAATAAATTTAGTTAAGAAATTGACATGTTGTTCTTTACCTCCGGGGCTCAGATATATAGGTTTCTTTATGGCAGGAATTAAAAAAAAAAATTGTTTCATCCTTACAACTCTACTTCATGCTTCAATTCATTATAATTTTTTTGACACCGTTTCAGGCAATTTTGCCCACTCCCAAGTCCAAATATTTATATAATTATTGTAACGTCTATCTTCTCAAATTCTTCTAATTATAAAATGTAGTTGTAAAAATGTTGCATTGAAATTTAAAGAAAAATATCTATCCTCATCCAATGGAACAACGACACAATTATAACATTTTGGAAAAATGTTTTATTATGTTAAATTCTCAAAAATACATGTTTAATCAACGTTATAGTATAGATAGAAAAAAATATGTTATATATATAATAATTAGAATTTAATATTTTTTTTTTTTGTTATTTTGCCTTTCCTTTAAAACTGTATGGTTTGTATTTCATCATAGTTTTACTACTTAGTATCTTTATATATTTCACGAGTTTGAAGTTGTAGCTTACTGAAACGATTTAACCGTTGTGAATTAAATTATTATCTGTCATATCTTGAAGTATGACATGCATTCATATTTTTTCACCAATTATCTTCTCTATAATAAAGTTTTGATGCCTGAAGGAGTTAAATGCTCTGATTCAGTATTTAGGAACGGGTATTCCGAATTGTAATTAAACTGACAATTAGTAGGTTCAGTTAATGGTAATACCGTAAGTTCTAGAACAGTGTTGACAATCTTCTATCAAGTCAAGTGTATAGTGATATATAAAGTTTCATGTTCTTTTACATCAGAAGTGAATCCGCATAGGCTTTGGTAGGTAGACCCTTCCTGGGCACACCCAGCCTAAGTAAGGGAAAAACCTTACGGTTGAGCTTGATCTCGGTCAAATCATCTGGCACAACCGTTGTCAAGTAGATTTTCTTTAATTATTTTTGTTTTTTAAACATTTATATTACGTTTAAAAATTATTTTTACAAGTACTCCTTAAAGACAAAAAAATCAGTTTCAAGGCAAGTATTTTGATTGCACCATGTATGTTAACATCATACAACATTAATCCTCAGTTCTCGGCCAATTTTCGTTTGCTCTGTTGCTAACGCACACTATTCCATTGATGAACTCATCGGACGCACCCTCTGACGTATCAGACACTGATTCATCTTGATCCGAATGCCTATTTAAGGTAGTTCACCATCTGCGGAATTAACCTTGGACTTGGCTAGCTGAGATCTGTGCGACATTCAGTAATCTGTATTCTATTGTTCACGTTTGCATCAATATTTATCAATGAATCAACATAATCTGTTGGTATATACTTTTCACTAATCAGAGGACATTCATAAGATCAGAGTTTTAGAACAAACAGTTCAAAGAAAGGTGTTCTGGCTTATGATCTGGTTTTATAAAATAGGAATCTTTAAATACCTTTAATTAACTTTAAATGAAAATAACGAAACTGTAAATAATTTACATGAATATTATTATTTTTTTATTATTATTCTGAGATTATTATCAGGATAACTTAAAAGCACAGTTTGAAGAAAATAATTTTGAATCTTTTCAAATTTCACCGTTGCAATATTATGAATCTGTACAGTCCTATAATAATATTATGGAATTACTTTACATATTATTAAACTTTGTCTTGTAGTAGGTCTAGTCTGCGTGTGTACGCTCCTGACCTGTCTTTAAAAACTTTTTTTTTTGTTTTCCCCTCTAATGCCTTGATAATAATAGTATAAAGGTATTGAACCGTGGCAGCCTTAATAAAGTAGTGTCGGATACCCGATCCTTTAATGGATTAGGGAGCCTTGTGGTTTGAACTGTCTCTACTAACAGTGTACCATCCCGTCTTACCACGTTTATAATTAACCAGCTGCATTATCGATATGTTTGGTTTTTGTGTTTATATATATATATATATATATATATATATAAATATATATATATATATAGAATAGAATAGAAAATTAGACTTTATTCTGGGACTAAGTCCCTTTAGAATAACAATGATGAATTGATACAAAGTAAAATACAAATCTGGCCAATAACTAACTTATAAAATTTTTAATATTATATAAATTATTTAAAAAGTATGTAACCACTGAAAAATAAAATATATAAATGAACATAAAATCTTGTCAAAATTACGTATTATTGTGATGAAAAAAAAAGCAAGAAAAAAAATTACATATTTATATATACATAACCACACAATTTATAAACAAATAAACAATAGGCTATCTAATAGAAAACTAACTTAATACAAAATGTAATAATATCTACAGTGATTTATACAATAATATGCAGACACTATTATAATAATATATTATATATATATATATATATATATATATATATATATATATATATACAGATATACATATGTACACAAAATTCGAACTATTCCTTGTTAGTTAATATTTTAAAGTAAATTGGAAAATATGTTGTTTTGAATAAAATCTATATAGGGACTATATGGTTAATTGTACTTTTTCATAATATCTTAGTATAACATAGATTTCTAAATTATATTTCTTTCATTTAAACTTTATCCCGTTTTCGTTATTAGTTTTTTTATTAATTTTGAAATATTAACAATTTAAGTAATTAGTTGTTTATATTTGTTGCTATCTTATTTTTAAGTTTTTTTACGTTTACTGGGGGAAGAGGATTTTTTTTACAGCTGCCTTACCATATCTCTTTCTCCTCTAAACAGTAGAATAGATCTATTTCTAAAAAGAAAATAACGCCTCGAAATATTTTCTGTTTAAATTTTAATGAGAAAAAACAATTTTTTTTATGTTTTGCCTAATCGAATTTCAATGTATTTCATATAACAGTACGTCCAACTTTCTTATGAAGATGTGAACTGTAGAGATAATATGACTGCGCATAAGACTAAATACAAACATACTTCCTCTATCAGTGACTAAGAAACCTCAAGTCTTAACTAAGAACTAATCTGACCACGTGCGGAATATCTAACGAAGAGTCAAAATATTGGTGAACATTTTTTTGGCTTGGTCTAAATATTACAATAAAAATCAATTTTTAAACATTTTATTGTTTTAGTTGTACATTACTCTGTTTAGCTACTGCCTCAGTCTGTTGTCCGTGCCTTCGTTAGAGCATGCCCATTATCCCATGAAATTTATTACGTAACAGATCAAGTAAAATCCGTTATTCTGTAATAAGTTAGGTATTGATTCCATTCTAAATTAGTTGTTTATAGCTTCAAAGTACTTATTTCTATCATAAGTTAAGTTACGGATAAGTAAATCGGTTGTAAAACTTTTTAAAATAAGGTTTTTCGGGATTATAACACTCTTAGATTTCCTTTACGGTCCACAAATTTTATTTCCTGATACACTTCAAAAATGATCATAATTACAATCTTTTAAAACTCTTCACAGAACATGTTATCTAAACAAATATATCCAGGCGACTTAAAATATCACAGATATTTTTCTTGTTGAATTACATTATAAGTTTATAGTTCTATTCTTAACTGACATTTTTTTTTGTTGTTTCAGGTATGTTTCGAATCTTAGTCAGTGATATATTCTGTACGTAAGTACTTAACTTTAAATTATTTATTTATTTATTTATTGAGTAATATAACATTTTGTCAATTGGACTGTAGTTAAAGTCAGATAAGACCACATTCATACTGTTTATACCTAAAAAATTAAAATAATAATAAACAAGTATATACAATAAATAAAAATAAAAACACTTAAAAGATAAGTAAATTAATAAAAAAAACACAGATATGCCTATATTTGCAGTTAAGCGAGAGAACTCCCAGAGATTCCTGTTCCTCCAACTATAGAGGGAAAAGCAGGACTCCAGGAGATCCCTGCGTTACTCTCTGAACTGCTCCACTGGGGCTAAACCCAGGAGATTTAGCGAAAGGGCTTTAGATAGACACATAACTTTAAAATATTTTACTACTGTTTCTTAAATAATTCTCTTCCACTGCATTATAATTAGAAAATTAACATTATTTTATCCTATCATACTTATGAAGGAAAGGGTTCAGATTTCCTTGAAAACTTGCTGTTTTTTTTTTTTTTTTACCAAAAATTATAAAATGTGTCGATATCTGCTTCCATATTCAGCTACCTAGTTCGTCCGCCAATCCGATGAATGGCCAGGTTCCATTCTATGGGAATCAGTGTATGAAAGAAAATAGATAAGTTTTTTTTTTTTATCAGTTGATATAACTGAAAGTAAATTTTCTGTTCATAGGGGAGTCGCCCCTTTTCTCTACTTTTGAGTCAATCTGCTTTCGTTTTTCATTTATTTTTTTGTTAATATTTTTCCATTTTGCTCGTTCGTTTATTTATTTTCAGGATTTCCAATAAACATATTCACGAAGTACCTCTCTTTTTTACGAGGATACTGAAGCATGAGTTTAAAAGTAATAGAACATTGTTATGTTCTGTTATTACCTATCGGTGTTAAAATTGTCTAAGATAGTAGACAAGTCTTATATCCTTATGCAGTCTTTAGCCTTCTCCTGGACACTTGACAGCTAAGCTGAGAGTGTATTTCCAGGGCTTCAGATCTGACAGAACGAATCGGCTTCATCCCCTGGCCCGAGGTGGAAAAGGGAAAGCCGGCGGCGGTCGGTAGTTTTCCTCTGGAACCAATCTGGCCGGAGATGGTAGAAACTTCCCCCGGACCGTTTATAATGGGACTATTGTGCTCTCTTCTGTACCTACTTTCTACACTCTTCCGCGCTTCATAAAGAACCCTTAAGCCACTTTTTTTTTTGTTACTTCTTTGTCGAGGATTTCGCGGCTTCTCCTTCTCCGAAACGTACCAAAACAACTCGCTACTTCTTAAGGTTTGTTGACCCCACTGTCCGGATCCGGTTCTGCATCGTTTTATTTAACTGTAGTTGAATTACCTTATGAGGAGATCTTCAAGATAAGAATGCCGAAAGCGCTATTGTAGCAGCTAATTTTGAATTTGAACCTGCCTAGAAAATCGCACAAATTTGAGCTTCAATAAAAATTAAGTAATAAAGGAAGTACATAAGATTAAATTATTTTTTTTTAAACTCATTTATTAAGAATTATTACCATCCACCACATTTAAGGATATTTATATTAATATTCAGAGAGCACATTCACACTTTAATTACAATAAATAATACAGAAAAATTATAATATTAAAAGTAAATCTATATAAACAAAAGATCTAAACTAATCAAGATAATAAATAAAACACGAGCATACTACATCAAACTATAAAAAAATATATTAAAAAAATTCCATAGCTAAAAAATTAAAATAACTGTGCCCTGGGATATGAGGTGGGAACTTGGGGGTGTGGTCTGAGTCCACTGTAGCTTGATGTTTACGACCGCTTAACAGGAGACTGTTCATCTCTTTCAGCTCTGCTTTATGGATATGCCATTTATAAAAATTTATAAAATATATTTTAAAGTTAATATTTTTATCAAATGCGACTGAGAAATACAGAAAAAAAAACGTAATATACATTCCTCGGAGAAATGTTTTAAAATTGAAAATACTATTCTGTTCTAAAGTAGTTTTTAAAGTATTTCTGTCTTCTATCAGTCACTGTCGTGATTAGTTCATCCCCCACCACTTATCAAATATATCACCTAGCAAATGAGCATCAGAAATATTTAGGATTTTTTGTATGTTTTATTGTTGTATCCTATTTTCTACTTTAGCCTAATAAAAATTGAAAATTCAGGCAAGCACTCAATTGTACAAATACCCTTGGAAGGTATTTACGGAATATAATATCAATTTATGTGCCACAATGGTTCTTCTAACCGAACAACAGGTACCCTCTGTTTCAAACGTTAATTGGTAATTAGATTTATTCCTTTTAGGTGTGGTATCTGCCCTTTGAAACGGCATATTACTGTTATTAACCACCTGAATGTGAGTTCAGTTTAACTCGAATGTAGTTTGTAAATTATGGTGGCTTTCCATATTGTCCCCCGTCCTTGTTGTAGGAGCCCCTTGCGAAAACTTGGATTACAAGAATTATTGTTTATATTAATCACCTTTACAAATTTCGTAAATCGATTAATAAAATTACAACCTTGCCATCGCTATTACATTTTTTTCTTTGGGCAAAATCATTGGATTGTTTATTATATAGGGACCAAAGTACTAATGGGTTTCATAATGCGGGATTCTGTAAAGTTTCTCATAATTGTTGATATGTTGATGGATTCGTTCTTGTTTTTACTTCGCGGGGAGTGGAAGGGGGTAACTCAGAGGAAAAGTAAAGAATCAAAGGAGTTGAAAAGAAAAGTTTTTGAAGGGAGGTAAATTTCATCATTGAAGCCTTTAAAGGATTGTATTAGTTTTGTGATTCCAAAGTAATTTATAAAAGTTTCTTATTCAATTTCGCCTGTCGGCTGGTCTCCCCTCGGGATCGGATATTCAGTTTCATTTCCACTCTCGAGGAGGATTGTTTCCCGCAACTTTTTTTTCTTGCTTCCTCTCCTAATTTATGTCGGCCATAGTCGATCATTGTCAGGTTTCATTATTGATTTTATTCCCAGGAATTAAATATAAAATAAAATATTTTTTTAAAATAATTACTTTCTCTTGGTTGTAAATTTTTTATTTATTTTTTTTTTCAAGAAATACTGCGTAGGCAATCATTTCTAATTCTCAATCATTTCTATTTTCTAATTGCTAGGTGGAAGGGTTTCTTCATTTTATATTTTTCTTAGATCTCCTTTACCTAATTTTCTTTATTATAAAGACCCATGTTTGAAATAATCAGTCATTAAAGGCACAAAGACCTTTTATTTTTAATAAGTATAAGCCTTCGTTAATTTTAATAAGTTGACCCTTAAGGATCTTCGACTAATGAGTTACGGCTCTTTCTATAGCCACTTATAGAAAGTAAAAAAAAATGCCAAACTGTTTCAATGGATTTTATTTTGTATTCAAATATTCGGTAAATAATAAGAAAGTCTCTTGTTTTTTATCAAACATCCGAATTAATAACAGTTATGATTTTTTAAAAACTTTTCTGTATGATTTTAAATTAGGAACTGCTTTGGAAAGCAGAATTTAGAAGTCAGGAAATTTCTGACTAACATAAATCTAATCTGTCCGCAGAATATAAATATTTGTTCCTGTTTTTGATTAGTTTTATGTTTATTCAGTCAAAGAATAAATTTATATTATGGTATGTTAATAGATTATCAATAGTCTATGAAATAGATTATCTAAAGAAAGCAGTTATAAAACAGTTGACTTCTGATGGTTGGAGGTAGAGGATGAAAGAAAATGTTGCAGAATTTAGCTTGTCCCTCTCGAAATTGCATCATAGTTTCGTCTTCAGTTTAAGATAACCAATACATGCCTTTTAAGGTTTATTGATGAGCATTCTCTTGCCCCTGACTATTCAAACTACGACCGCACTAGTTGAGGTTGCCAGATGCCGCGAATTGAGTAATGACTATTTGGGACTACCACGTGTCAGGGAAGACGCTCCATTGTCGCTTACTGACAGTGGGCTAACAGTAACAGATATACTGTTTGGAATAGCTTGTTCCAGTTACGATAATTCGATTCTCTTATTGTTGTTTCTTGTTTACCTTTGTCCGAGCGAACAATGGTTCCTGCATTGTCTTGGAGTGCATTGAAAGGGATTTGCGGAGTACCTCTTTCGATTTTACTTCAGAGGCTAAATAAACACTTTGTCATATATTTCTTCGCTATATGCCATATCTATTAAAAGTTAGGAATGTTTTTCTCCATTGAAGCTGTATTAGGTTTAAAACTAAAACTATCTAAGCATCTGTTAAGGCATGTTAACACAGTTTACGTGTCTGTGCATCCTATTCTCATGTTAGATTATTTGCAGACACGTCTTCCTAATTGCATAATCTTGATTTGTATTTCATGCTTGAACTATTCCATTAACCATTCAAATTTTACGTTTGTTATATAATCCCCATATAATAGTACATGCCATAGTATTTTCCAATGCTTACTTCATCGATTGAATTCTTGATTACTAATCCTCTTGAGACAAGTCTTTTAGGTTAAGTAGAGTATAGACTAGATGTTGGCTGAATACACTGGAGACTAGAAGCCTCCTTTTACAAGAGTAGAGAAGGAAGGACACGATAAGATGGTTGAGACCTGTAGAAGAAACGCAATTACCTGATTGGTTTATAGCCCTCTACCCCCTCCAACCTATCTGATAGGACGTATAGAGGACTCAATCTTCCCTCTTCCCCAAAATTTACTCAGTAAAGCAATTCTGTGGAGTAGAAAAGGAACCTTCCGAGTCGCGTTAATTATAGACATATCTACTATAATTAAGTTAGTAAAAATTATTTACGCAATGCACGTGACAAATGCTGATAGCAGTGAACCTGTCGAGTTTACGTTCTGTGCAAAACTAACTACCAAGTATTGGAAAGGTCGAGATTTCTTTTGAGGTTTCATTGCACCAGTAAAAACCTTTAGAGTGGAAGGTTCTCTCAATAGATCTTGCCAATGACTTTTACAGAATCTGAGGAATAGAGTTTAAGGGCTTTCGGTTTAAGTGCCCAATAAAAAATACATCTGGAGCTGAAAGCTCCAGCTATTGCTGGAAATAAATATTTCCTATTACTAAGTAAATGCAATGATATTGGCGGTATCAAATGGTATTTATTTTGTTTTGTACGAGGCCATTCTGGGTAGGTGGTTTACGGGTCTGAGTATATGTGTTTCATTATATTCTGTTTTAAGTAGGTTAAATTTTTTTAGATCTTTTTTCCGCAAAATTATTTTTATTTATTAATATGAGTGACTATCATGATTTAGTAACAAATCCTTTTTAGTCAATTTTCTTTCTTCACTTAACTAAATCCTGCATTGTGTTATTTTAAAAAACAATTTAGACTTTTTAATATAACAGCAAATACCATGGGTCTTCAGGAGCTATGTTTTCATATTTCCTATTTTGTGTTTCTTAATTAAGTTGTGTTTGACTGATAGACCATCATATCACCAATATTCATCTTTATTTTATAATTTGTGATGTTGAGACTAAAAGTGAGACATTCTCAATCAATTTTTTAATTATTTTTGTAAATTTCAATTCAAATAAAAAAAAACAACTATAATTAGTTGATTTAAGAATAAACATATGGACAAATAAGAGCATTGCATCCAATATAAACATTACGAATTTGGCAAATCAGCCCGAAACCTCTCGGTCTAATGTATTAATAAGAAATAAATAGAGAGGGTTTAAAAATGGGTAAATTGTTTTTCTTTCCATTTTTTTTTTTTTTTTCAACAAAAATCATTCTGATAAAACTGATTTTTAAATTAATTGCTTTTATATTAATTTTTAGTTAGAAATATTTATATTAACTATTATGTGTCTAATATATGTATCTTATTACATTATTTCGTAAAAAGACGATGTATTAAATACATTTATACATTGTATCCCGTAAGTATATGGGTAGTGGCAGACCTCTCAAGAGGGACAATAAAGTTTATATTAACAATACTCCGATTCTCAGGAGAATTGTTGGGAATTAAAGTTTTTTGTTTTTTTTTAATTAAGTCGTGGTTTTTGTTGAAGGAAGCGATAACAAAACAAAAAAAAATGGTTAATTTAAGTAATTAACAATTTCTTCAGAGTAAACTAGACAAAATTTACTTCAAACTAATTTAGATTTTATCGTTGTCAAAACTATATAAAACTTCTAAGCAGCTAAGTTCTGTATTTAAA